AATGCCCGGAGGACCCTGCAGGGCCTTTGCAGCGGGCTGTGCCACAGATTGGGGTGGCGGCGGTGTTTCCCTAGGAATGAGCCACTTCAGGAGCGGGGACCCCAGCAGAGGTACCGATGGTGGACTCAAGTCAGGCACGACAGGGTGACTCATTGGGGCTAAAACTTGACACTATCCATCTGTGCGTTTCTCACTGCCCCCCGCCCCAGCCCCCCAAGGTGAGGCAGACAGAAGTGTCTATTTTCATTACTATGGTCAAAGAAGGGGCAACGAGTGTGCCAGTGTCCCGGGGAAGGACCGCCCCTCAGGTAAGTGGGGGTGGGAGTGGCGGAACGAGAGTTTGCTGGGTCTGTGTGTCCTGGCCCGACTAGTGGGGGAAAGTGACCAAAACCCTGGTTGGATCACCCAGTGTAGGGTCCGTTCTGCTTCTAAAGGGATTGGGCGGGGTTAGTGGGACCGGTTCAGGAAGGGACAGAAGGACAGAAGGCCAGGTCGGAGGAGTCGCATCGAAGACCAGGGCCCTGCTGCTTCCTATTCCTCGGACCTGGGGTCTGCCCGGGGCGAGGACGGCTTGTCCCCATCTCGGATGCAGAGCTGGGCTCGCACCTCCTGCATCTGCTTCCGCAGCTCCTCCAGGGCGGGCGGTGCTGCGGCCTCCGCCGCCGTCTGCTGCACCCGCGCCTGCAGCTCCTCCAGCACCAGCGCCAGGTGCTCCACCTCGTCCCGCATCGTGTCCCAGGCGACACGCTGCTGCCTCTTCTTGAGACGATGGTGCGACTTTTGGCGCCAGTACTCCAGCATCAGGCAGCTGCAGGCCACGAGGAAGATGGTGGCCTCGCCCAGCAGCTCGGCGCCCAGCTCTGCCGCCGTGGCCTCGTTCAGCGGCTTCACGGCTTCGGCGTTGAAGCCCATGATGCTCATCTTGGCCCGCATCTCCGCCCAGTGGTACACTGCGGGGGAAGAGGGGGGTCAGCGATCCTTTGCTGGGGAGCCCTCTGCCAGCCCCACCCCTCGACTCCTGGATGGCCTGCTGGGAACGATGGGGGACGGCATCCAGAATCTCTGTGGTTGGGGAGTGAGCGCCATCAAGGAGACTCGCGTGCGAAGAAGACGCTGGCGCTCCAGGCGGCGCGCGCGGAATGCTGAGTTAGGTACTTGGGATGCTGAGTTAGTTACTTGGGATGCTGAGTTAGATGCCCGGAGGGCATCCTTTGAAAGTGTCCTGAAGATTCTGGCGAGCAGCTGAGAATGAGAAACGCTGTTGCAGGGGAGGTTCTGAGGTGACAGTCCAGAGCAGGAGTAAATGTTTTCCTTTTCCCCTCACCCCTCCCCACTTCAGGGCCAAATGGGCACCTTCCCGCAGCCCCAGGAGGAGGAGGTGACAGCTAGCTCCTGAAGTGTGTTCCCTGTGGTTTGGGAAGGGGCCCAGGGCGTGCGCAACATGGCTCTAATGACTTCTGTACCTAATCAATCACTCGTTCAGATGAGCCATGACCAGCATCAGTCATCACGGATAAATGGGCCACAGGCACCGAGTGGGTGCTGAAACCTGACTCGCTCCAGTAATAATTAATATTCAGCCTTGATACATGAGCTGCTGGAGAGAATAATGAGCCTTTTGGGGCTCAATAGGAGGTGAATTCCTGAAAGCATTTTATACTTCCCCCTTCCTGCCATCCTCCACAAACGCCAGGCTGATCTAATTACGTTTTCTTCCCCTCAGCTGGGGTTAGTTCGACTTTGCAAAAAGGGTTGTAAGATGAAGAGAGTCTGTCTCCTTGCCTCTAGCTCTAGTCCTGCTCTACAGAAAACTTAAAAAAAAAAAAAAGATTTTATTTATTTTTAGAGAGGGGGAAGGGAGAAAGAGAGGGAGAAAAACGTCAATGTGTGGTTGCCTCTTGTGTGCCCCCCACTGGGGACCTAGCCCACAACCCAGGCATGTGCCCTGACTGGGAATCGAACCACCCACCCTTTGCTTAGCAGTCCAGTGCTCAGGATGGCGAAGTCCACAGCCAGGGCTGTAGAACAACTTTTGATCTTCTGTGCACTGGTTTCTTCCACATTGACCCCATAATGCCAAAATACCAGCTTATACCTCTAGTTCTTGATTTGCTAAATTGAATCTTTACATACATTATGACGTGACTTTCCACCGCCATCCCTGCTTGTGTGAAATTAAACACATATTCTATATCCTCCCAAGGTTTGCAAGCGATTTTTAGTTTGTTTCTATTGATTGGTAACAAATACAATAACTCTAAATTAAAAAAGTAACATGCCCATTGCCTCAACTTCCTGACATGTGCTGTGCAAGAGAGAAACAGTTGCCTGTCACACACCCCCACCCGGGGACCTGGCCCACAACCCAGGATGTGCCCTGACCCGGAACCAAACCTGCGAACCTTCAACCCCTTGGTTTGCAGGCCAGCACTCAGTCCACTGAGCTACACCAACCAGGACTTAAGATGTCTTTTTGAGGTTATTAATAATAAGTGTTTTACTATTCTTTGTCCATTTTTACACTAGAATAAATGACCATTTCTAGGCCCAGAATTACAGGCTCAGAACTCCTCAGAGTTCCGAGGAACTGGTGTGGCTCAGTGAATTGAGCACAGGCCTGGGAACCAAAAGGTTACTGGTTCGATTCCCAGTCAGGGCACATGCCTAGGTTGTGACCAGTTCCCAGCAGGGGGCGCACGAGAGGCAACCACACATTGATGTTTCTCTCCCTCCCTTTGCCTGCTCTCTAAAAATAAATAAAATCTTTTTTAAAAACCTCAGGAATTGGGAGGCCTGGTGGCATCATGAGTCCTGGGCAGGGCCCTTTTGTCCCCCTGTGGCATTGACATTGCACCAGGGTGGGTTTTCAAAGGACTTTCTCTTGTCCGTCATTTCATACTTTTCTCTGAACCTCGTTTCTCTCCTTAATTCTGGGAATTTTTCTTGCCTGTACAATAAAGGGTTAGCTTTACCCTATAAATAGGGGCCTGGCCTTGGCCCTTGGGTCCTGAGAGGAAGTCTTTAAGTCCTTGGAACGTCCTGTCTGAGAAGGGTGTCTGTTTACTTGGGGCCTCTGTGCTGGACACTAGCAGTGTGATTCCTGGTGACCACAAAGTATCTGCTCCACCTCTGGGGGGGGCTAGAAACTAAGGTTGGCCACGTGGTTCCCACACCTTGTCTGTGTGACCCGCCCCCACTGAAAAGCCTGCAGAACGTGGCTTGGGCGAGCTTCCTGGTTGGCAGCGTTCCGTGCACCCGTCATGCAGTGCTGCTGGGAAAGTTAGTGCTACCCACCATTCCACTGGTTTAATGGGAGCTCACTCACACTGGGAACTCTCCTGGATTCTGCCCCATGCTCCTCTTCCCTTGGCTGATTTGAAACTATATCTCTGTAATGAACTAGAACAGGGAGGCCTGACCAGTGCGGCTCGGTTGGTTGGGCGCTCTTCTGCAGAGCGAAAGGTCGCTGGTTCAATTCCCTGTTAAGGCACACGCCTGCGTTGTAGGTTCGGTCCCCAGTCAGGTACCTGCAAGAGGCAACTGATCAATGTTTCTCTCTCACATCAATGTTTCTTTTCCTCTCTTTTCTTTTCCGTTACCCTCTCTCTAAAAATAAATAAATAAAATCTAGCCCTGGCTGGTGTGCATCAGTGGATTGAGTGCCAGCCTGTAAACCAAAGGTCACCGGTTGCATTCCCAGTCCAGGCACCTGCCTGAGCTGCGCGCCAGGTCCCCGGTAGAGGGCGCGCGAGAGGCAACCACTCATTGATGTTTCTCTCCCTCTCTTTCTCCCTCCCTTCTCCTCTCTCTAAAAATAAATAAAAATCAGTGTTTCTTTAAAAAAATAAAGTAAAAAAACACTGTAACGATGAGTCCTGTGAATCCTACCAGATCACTGAAACTGGAGATTGTTTGGGGGCACTCTGAACTTGCAGTTGCTGTCAGAGTGAGGGCACGGTGGGGTTGCGGGACTACTTTTGCCCTGTTCCCCCGTTCCTCCTGGGGGTGTGCGGAACTGTTCTTCAGGACTTGCTCACTTTGGTTTAGCTGTGCTGCACTTCAGTGAGAAGCTTTCGTAACTTGTGAGTCAGAGCTGTCTGGCCACCTTTCCAGCCTCCTCCAAGGCAGCTTCGCTTGTGGCAACCGGGGAAATTGGCGATTCTCATTGTCTCATGACTGTGCCAACTGGCAGGCGCGTCCACTCAGCCAGGACTGTGCTCCCATTCACTGTGGGAGGCCCAGGCGAAAACGAGGGTGTGGGAATGACCCAGCATCCTCTGGGGCTCGTCCGCGGTCGCCTGGGGAGAGTGGAGTGGGGCTGCACAGAGGGGCTCAAGGAAACTGGGGAGCAACGAGATGCGTCCACTGTCTTCGGAGTGGTGGTGGTTTGACACATATGTGGAAACCAAACTATATCAGCCCTGGCTGGTGTGGCTCAGTAGATTCAGCACGGGCCTGTGAGGCAAAGGGTCGCTGGTTGATTCCCAGTCAGGGCACATGCCTGGGTTGTGGGTCAGGTCCCCAGTAGGGGACACATGAGAGGCAAAGACACATTGATGTTTCTCTCCCACTCTTTCTCCTTCCCTTCCCCTCTCTCTAAAAATAAATAAAATATTTAAAAAATAAACTATATCAAATTATTCGCTTTTCATACATACATTACACTGTGTATCACTGATACCTCAAGCAAGTTGCTTTGGAAAAATGCAGGATGACACAGAGTAAGTGTCTACTTAGACACAGAGAAAAAGGACTGAAAGAGGATGTGACAGGAGAAAGGGTACAGGATGGGCCCTGCTGGTGTGGCTCAGGGGACTGAGTGCCGGACTGTGGCCAAGGGCTCATAGGTTTGATTCAGAGTTGCAGGTCAGGCCCCCGGTAGGGGGCGTGCGTGAGGCAGCCACACACTGATGTTTCTCTCCCTTCCCCTCTCTAAAAATGAATACATAAAATCTTTTTTTTTAAGGGTACAGGATGGGAACTGCTAGGTTTTTCCGGGTGTGGGGAGAGCAAACACGCAGTCCCCCACTACCACACACTATGCATCGAGTTTCCCACATTCGGGGAAATCAAAGGGGGCAGCACACCCTCAGCGCGGTGAGTGAGCCCCGCCCTGGGAAAACCACCTCCGCGATCATGGCATCTCCCCTGCCTGCCAGTGTAAGCAAACTGCTAGTTTGTATTACAAACCTTACAGAAAGAAAGGTTTCATTCTTTAAGTGGGAGGTAAAAACACATTAATGTGATCACGCAATATTTGGGGAACCGAAGTCTTATCTTGGATCCATATCTTCAGCCTGATAGTGTCTAGGTTTGCAATTATGACTGTGTAAGGTTTAATTATTATAGATATACAGGGTGAGGCGTAGGAGGGAGCGTAACAGAAGTGAGCAACAGAGAGGGTGAGGCCTGTTGCTGGCTCTCTGCGGGCAGGAGAAGTGGAATGCACAGAACAAAGGAAACTGGAAAAAGAGGGAAACTGTTCCCTGACTGTGGTAGTGGCTTCCTGGACTGTGCCTCTGATTAAAAAAACTGCTTTGAACAGAAAATCATGACCCCCCCACTCCCATAACCCATTAATAAACTTGCTTTTTAGCTCTGGCTGGTGTGGATCAGTGGGTTGAGTGCGGGCCTGCGAACCAAAGGATCCCAGTTTGATTCCCAGTCAGGGCACATGCCTGGGTTGCAGGCCGGTTCCCAGCAGAGGACCTACCAGAAGCAAACATACACTGACATTTCTCTCCTTCCCTTCCCCTCTAAAGATAAATAAATTTAAGAAATCTTTAAAAAATTCTCCTCCTTTAAAATAAACTTGCTTTTTAGTCATTAGTGTTCTCATTTCCCACCCAAGGCAAATACCCGGCGTAGACTGTGGGGCGCAGGTAGAATGTAGTTCATGGTCCATCCCCTCTGAGCTCACAGAGCCGCTGAAGGGGGGGTGGGGGGTGGAGGGGGTGGAGCCTTGTGAGCGGGGAGGCCACGCCTCTAAACGGCTCCTAGTAAAATGGGAACTTATTTTTGTCATCTCCTACTCCCTCTCCCTATTGTTTCACCTCCTCCTTGGCTTCCTTCCCTCATTAGCAAACCACTCATCTTGAAATATTTTATTTGAATAAATTAAGGTAAAACACTATTAAGAGGGCAAGTGCTGTTTCCCCCCCGACAATTCAATGTACTGTTTACTTGCCAACCAGGGAGTGACTTGGTTTCCCAGTAGCCAAGAGCAATGAAATCACAGTAAACAGATGATTGTGAAAAGATCAGGCCAGGTTCCCAACTCCCACACTGCTCATGACTTAGTGATCTTGGCTTGATTGACACCCCAAAGCTGAACTGAAACTCCCTTCCACCTCCCACAATAGATACTGACCCTCCTGTACTTGGAAACAGCCCGGCCCTTCACCTGACCCATTGTCTGGGCTCACCTTCTGGAACCCTGAGGCACCTGCCCAGAAGAGCAAGAGAGTAACCCCTCCCCTATCCCTGCGCAAACCCCGAGCTTTTTGTTTTAAAAAACCCCATTCCCGCACACACTCCCCTGCTCCCCCACTCACACCTGCTGCAATTGGTCCCCACTTAGCCCACATGTAAGCACAGCATCAAATAAAGGCACTTGGACCAGATCATTTGGCTCCTCCTGCCTCTACTTCTCTCGCATTTCTAACATTTTGGTGCTAAAATCCGGAGGACCTTGATTGGGGAAGCCCACTTGCTTGACCTCTGCATCCACACAGGCAAAATCAACCAGGCCTACAGAGGCGTCAAACGCATTTCCACCAGGGGCCACATCAGCCTTGCGGTTGCCTTCAAAGGGCCGAAATAATTTTAGGACTGTGTACATGGGACTACTCCTTCTTCACTGTTAAGGAGTTGAAATTACATTTGGCCCTGATGTGGCCCCTGGGGAAAATGAGTTTGACACCCCTGAAGCAGCGGCATAAGGAATATGTCCCTCTCCGTCATCCCGAGACTCTCCTTCTCTGTTCTTCGGTGTCCTGGACACGATCTTCAGAAAATCCCAGCGCTGGGTTAAGGGCCTGCCTGGGTCCTGGACCCTTGGGAGTGACAGGAAGGTGGGATGCTTCCCTCCTCTCCTCCCTGTCTCTGTCACACACTCGAGGGTGGAACGGCTCCTCATTTGTCCTAAAGCAGGGAGACTGGGCTTGCTCCCCGCCCCCCCCCCAATCCTACTCCTCATAATGGGCAAGGACCCATCGCTACCTCCTGTGGCGCCCCCTCGGGTATCTGCTCAGGAGTCTAAAAGACCTGGGCTAAGAAATGGACTTAAAACCCAAGGGACTTACTTTCTTCTGTAACACTGCCTGGCTGCAGTATAAGCTGGATAATGGGTCTATCTGGCCAGGAAACGGGATACTCAACCCTCAGATCCTCCCAGACCCTGACGATTTCTGTGGGCGTCTCAGCACCTGGAGTGAGGTCCCAAAGCCCAGCCTGTCTTTGAGCGGCGCTGGCGCTCCTCCCCGTGCCAGACCCGATCCACCTACTGAATCCTTCTCCTCCCCTCTCTCCTTCCCCAGCGGCGTCTGCCCTTCCCAGTGCCCGACAGAAACACCCTTTGAGCCCTGGGAGGACTCTCTTCCCCTCCCTACGCATCCCCTCCTCCTCCTCTGTCTGGCCAGAGCCTGGAACACAGACTTGAATCCCCTGCCCCTCCCGACTCCTCCCTCAGGTCCTCCACCTCCCTCCCCTCCCAGGACCAGGGCCAGCAGCCTGTCTCACCCCCTCCCCCTTACCCCTCCCTCCCGGAGGGGCAGGACCAGGAGGGCCCACCCGAGTCCACGAGTCTATGTTCCCTTCTCCCTTCCCCATCTCCCCCACGCTGAACAACCCGCAGGATCCTTTTCCTCTGACCCCACCCATCTATCTCCTCAAGGAATTCCAGTATCTGACTGCCTCCTATCATCTCACTTGGCGAGACCCCTATGTCATACCCTCCACCTGGCTGTCCCCTGAGGAGAGGGACCGTGTTTGGCTGGAGGCTCAAGCTCATGCTGACACCCTAAGGCAAGACCCTACCAATGGCCCGGTAGGAGCCCGGTAACCTGCCTCCCGGAGAAACTATGGGAAATCTCCCAGGGGGCAGGCGAGAATCCCGCCGCCTTCCTTGCCAGTCTGCGGAAGCCCTCCGATGTTTTCCTGACCCGAACCCAACTCCCCGGAGGGCAGTCTACTGCTCCATGCCCATTTTACCCCCTCATCGGCTCCAGGAAAATCTGAAAGCTCCAGAAACTAGAGGCAGGCCCTCAAACCAGCCACAGTGAGCTAGTTAATCCAGGCTTTAGAGATTTCAACAACCAAGACAAGGAAAAGGCTCAGCAGGAAAGACAAAGGGAGGATGCTATAAGGCCAAGTCCCGTACCCAGGCCCACCAGCTACCTGCCTCGGCATTAAGAGAGACCCGAGATTTCCCCAAACAGGGAAAAACCCTTCCGGGGACCTGTTTTAAGTGTGGGAACCCAGGGCACTGGGCCAAACAATGCCCAAACCCCGGAGCCCCTCCAGGGCTGTACCTGCGGTGCAAACTACAGGGCCACCCGAAGTCCGATTGCCCCTTGGGCCTGTCAAGGCAAGGGGGTGAAGGCTACCCACTTGGATCGGCCCCCTGGTTTTGAACTCCCGGACCTCCTGGGATTAGCGGCCGAAGACTGCCGGTGCCTGGGAGCCGCACTGGGCCCCACCATATTCAGCGGGACGGAACCTCGGGTAACTCTTAGCCGCAGCAGGAAAGCCAATCCTTTTCTCTTCCACACGGGGCCATTTGCTCTGCTCTCCCTGAATACCCCGGGCCAACGGGCCATTCCTCAGTCTCTGTAGTACGAGTCGATGGCACAGTCTCACAACCGTTAGCCCCCCCCCCCCCCACAGCCCCGACCCTGTTCACTCCCGGGCCACTGATTTACTCACTCATTCCTGGTCTTCCTCCACTGCCCTCCACCAATTCCTGGAAGAGACATCCTCGCCAGGCTTAAGGCCCAAGGACTCATTCCTTCTCGAAACTCCGGGGCATTTTCTTTCTCTCTCTAACAGATACACCCCTAGTCCCCTCCCACTCCACTTAGTTAACTACATTTACAGGAACCACCACTGCCTGGGAGGCCCGTGGAAGGGCTCTTCCGGGACCTAAAGGAGATTGTCACCAAAGCCCCTACTCTGGCCCTCCCTGACCTCAAGAAATCCTTTGTCCTGTACACGGATGAAACCCAGGGCATCACCCTGGGTCTCTTAGGACAGCAGTCAGGCCCAGACCTGAACAGAATAGCCTGTTTATCTAAACAGCTAGACCCCACTCCCCAAGGGTGGCCCACTTACCTCACAACGTTAACCACAGCAGCAGCTGTCCTTACCCTCAAGGCACAAAAGCTGACCTGCTCCCTCGCCCTGGCTGGTGTGGCTCAGTGGATTGAGCATTGGCCTGGGAACCAAAGGATTGCTGGTTTGATTCCCAGTCAGGGCACATGCCTGGGTTGCAGGCCAGGTCCCCAGTAGGGGGGGTGCACAAGAAGCAACCACACATCGATGTTTCTCTCCCTTTCTTTCTCCCTTCCTTCCCCTCTCTAAATTAAAAAAAAAAAAAGCTAACCTACTCTCAAGCAGTAACTGTATATTCATCCTGTATATTCTTCTCATTTCTGATCAATATCCAATCAGGGAGAAAAATTCCTGCACCCTCTGTTGGACTCCTCTGCCAGACTTTGGCAAACTGCTTATTCTGCTACGAGCTCCTCATATAACAATTGTGCAAGAGAAACATCTCACTCCCCTTTCAGGGAATAGGTACACTTTTTCAAAAGGGGCGGGCCGAGTAGCATTGCTAGGAGTTCTCTGCTGCAGGGCCTGGCACCTCATTAGATAGTTATCACCGGTTATTTCTAGAAACAGCGGAGGAAGCCACCCTGGGTGCACTCTTGCTACACTCCAGGAGCAGCTCAACACCCAGCAGGGGGAGCCCTTCAAAGCCTGAGAGCCCATGTCTATATCTCAAAGAAGACTGACGTTTCTACATAAACAAATCAGGCAAGGTCCAACCAAACATTCAGGGCACACTGGAGTCTGCACCTAAAATAAAAACTCTGAGCCCCTCCATTAATCTAGTTCCTGGCTCCCCAGCACTACCTGGCCGCTGCCTTTCCCGGGACCCCCC